GATGGGAGAGAGAAAGAGAGGGAGAGAAACATTGATGTGGGAGAGAAACATTGATCGGTTGCCTCTCATATGTGCCCCAGCTGGGGACTGAACCTGCAACCCAGGCATATGCCCTGACCAGGAAGTGAACTGACGAGTTTTCGCTTTGCAGGATGATGCCCAACCAACTGAGCCACACTGGTCAAGGCTAATCATTTTCGTTTTCTGACCCAGTTCTGTTAAATTATAGATTAATGCCGCTTCTTTCTAAAAACTAGTATCAGCATTTCTGTTTTCCCCATTTAGCATTTTTAAATAAAATGAAGGAAATTCAGTAGAATAGTTATATAATTTATAAATATTGTTTAAAAAGATGGTGATGATGTGGTAGCAGGTGATATGATTGGCTAGCAGGTAGGTATACCACTATGTTTTAATGACAGGTATTTATTCTTCAGAAGGTGTAAAAAAAAGTTGAAATTCAAACAGTGAGAGACAGATTAGGAACATTAAAATACACATATAAAGGACGCATGAACAAAGCCAAAGGGGGGTTAGGATTGAGGGTGGGAGGTAGGGGTGGCTGGGGAGGGGAAAGTGGTGGCAGGAAAATGGAGACAACTGTACTTAAACAGCAATAAAAAAAATGTATAGATTAAACCGAAGGCATAATATTTGTGAATGGTCGAACTAAGTAATAGACTATGTATTATATGTGTAAATGAATACTCTTAATTTAAATATTCTTACATGTATTTGTTCTATGTTCTGTTACAAATATAGGTATGTACCTCTGAGCATAGTGGTTTACCTCTTAAGTCATTTGAGCCGTGGGAGAGGAGGCTGTTAGGTTGTCGGGTTTAGTGATGCTGCAGAATTGTGCATGAGGAGTGGAGTGTTCAGAGGGAAGACTTAGAGGTCTTTCATTGCTTCCCGTGGCACTCGAAGGGCGAAGGGTGAATAGCTTACTCTTCCTTGTGTTTAGTCTTCGAGGGTTTTTACTTTAACCCTTTCTTTGTTTTTTGGGCTGCTTAACAAAATATCGTAGGCTGGGTGGCTTAAACAACGAGCATTTATTTCTCACAGTTGTGGAGACTGGGTAGTCCAAGGTCAAGGTGACCTTATATTTGGTGTCTTCTGAGGACCCACTTCCTTGTTAATAGAGAGCTGTCTTCTTGCTGTATCCTTACATGGTAAAAGGGGAGAGGGGGTTCTCTGTAGTCTCTTTTATAAGGGTGCTAATCCCACTCATGGGGGTGCCCTTCTCATGACCTAATCTCCCCCCAAATCCCAACCTCTAAATACCATTAAATTGATGATATTAATTTTGGAAGGACACAAACATTTAGTCTATGGCAAACTCTCTGAGGTGAGAAGAATGGCCACTTAATAAAGAATAAATACTAACAGTTTCGACAACAGGGTATAAATACTTCAGTAATTAGTTATATTTTTATTACTGTTGAAGTATTACAAAATCTTCAACTAGTAAACAGTTCTGCAGGTGGCAGTCAGGACATTTATAGCTTTTTATAGTCTTTCCCTCTAGACTGTGATCACACTGGAGGTACAAGTGCTATCTTTGTTACTTTGTATTTGTGGTACATATCACAGTGCCTAGAACCGTAGATTTTTAGGGAGTATTAGTGGAAGGAAGGAAGGGAGGGAGGGAGGGAGGAAAGGAGGGAGGAAAGGAGAAAGGAAGGAAAGGACTTACTCTTTTAAACCATGTAGCTGTGAGATGGTTTAATAGCATGTGTGGAATAACCACTGAAGGTTCTTTGTGGTGAATGACAAAAAAAGTAAATAAATAATCACTGAGGGTTCTTTGTGGTGAACAACAACAAAAATAAACTAGGCATCCCACCTTTAGTCCAGTGTAGTAACTAGCTCCCTTAAGCTTCTCTTCTTGGCTAAAACTTCAGGTTAAAACCACTATTCTTAGGGTTCAGGTGCTTTCAACAGTCAGTTCTTGTTGCCCTTCCTTCTCCATCTGTGACATAAGCAGTGACCAGAATGTGGTGTCTGTGGGGGGTGCTGAGGCAGAGGAATATATTTTCTGAGGTTGGCTGGCCACCGAGTGTTCAATATTGCTTCATAGGCCCTCCTTCCCTTGGCATGCGGCACACATATTACCTCTGTTCAATCCTGAGTGACGAAAAATTTCCTCTTCCCAAGATGAAGCAGCTTCCTTCGAGACCTCTGATTATGAGTAAGAGGAAAATTAGTAGCAGGAATCAATAGGGTAAAGCAGATAGGCTGTAGCAGATTATATCAGTTTCCTTGTAGCTAAGGCAAACCACTGTGAATTTCAGCACATTTGACCTTTGCTTTGGAAGAGGCTGGCAGAGGGTCCTGTGGGTGGCTGCTGCATCTCCCAAGACCCGATTGTGGCAATTTCTTTTCGTCAGGTGGTTCAGATTTTGTCTGGTAGCCTAACAGCACTGAGTTTCCCAGTTGCCGACTATCTGTTATGGAGCAAGGGGAGGAGCGAATGAAGCAGTGATAAGAATTGAATAATAGGATATATGTTGGACTACTTACATTCTGTTAGTTTATAATTAGGTGTTCTTGTTCAGATTCTTTTCTAATTAACTAATAATCAAAAGAGCTAATCATATTGAGTGCTTCCTCTGTCAGGCACTGTGCTGAATTATTTTTATTCTATCACAGTAACCCACAATCTAGGTTTTATTATCATTCACTTGAACTTCATAGTGGCGTAGCTTTCACAGGAGTATCAATAACTAATTTTTATTCAACAGTATTTGCACATGCAGTGAATATTGCGCGGAGCGAAGTGGGAGAGCCACAGTCTGAGTTGGGAACAGGGGTCTGCTGGAGCTTGACTTACTACGCTGTGTTGGCAGGGGTATAACTCTAAGCTTTCACTGAGAAAAATCTTACAAAGTTAGGCTGGTGATTGTGGAAGGAAATGAGGGAAGACCAAGGGAGACCTCTGAGCCTTCTACACCTTTTCAAATTTTCTCCTGAAGAAAGGAAGCCAAGGTAGTGGGCAACTGGGTCCAGCCGTCACCTTTCCCATCTAATTCCTGAGTGTCCTAAGAAAACAAAACACGCACACTCTTCTTCCACTGCCATGTGAACTTGATGCCATAACTGGTGTATAGCACACGTTGCCTACCTACTTAATAAGCAGATAAGGCGTATTTTTCAGTGATTTCAGTTGGCAGACAGGGAAATTAGTTGTTTTCTCTGTGAAATAGTGAATGATAAAGTTTTGCTTTAAATATATAAGAAATTACCAAAACCCATTGCAACTAAGATTTTTGTTTTATTGAGATATCATTGACATACAGCACTGAATAAGTTTGTTGTACAGTATAATGATTTGATTTACATATATTGTAAAATGATTCCCACGTAAATTTTTGTATTTTTAAAAATATATACCAGAAATCAATAACTGAAGACATCTTTTTTCTCTATATAAATTATAATTATGGTTTATAGGTATTTGACATGTATATATTATATAAATAAATTAAAATTCTTTTAGTTTAGCTTTAACATAGCATTTCTAAAGTTACATTAACTCTGGTTATTTTTAGTTGGAATGTGACATATATTGCCTCTTGCATCTTAGAAATCACCTAAAATGTGAAATGAAAAGGATAGTGAAAAATGTCCATAAAACACATTAAAGATTAAAACAGTGGCTGAGCCCCGTGAAAGGAAGTGATCTTATGAATTAGTAATGAAAGTACATTTACAGGTTATTGTCTTACTGGGGGTTTGAGTTTTAACAGCTGCTGCTGGTTTAAACTAATAGAAGTCTGAATAGCATGTAATAATCTATGAGTATTCATTCTGTTTATAGACTGTTTCTTAATAGAAACACTGAATAGTAGTACATATCTTAAATTATGTCAAAGGGTAGTTGTAAAAGTGAAACAATAAATATGTTTGTAAACATTAAAGGTGCTCTCTCACTCTGTGTGTATGTGTATGTAATGCAAAATTATAGAATTACTAAGTTTAGTGAGTAAGTAGTTTTAGGAGTTATCTGAAACTTCATTTAGATCCTATGGATACAATTTGTGACAACTCAAAGTGTATTGGACTGAAAAGTCAAACATGTAGTACTGTAGAATGTTTAAGGTAAACGGGAGGCCAGGTATTTTAAAAGATGTTATATGGAGTGGATACGTTAATAAGTCACTTTCACATGTGGGTTAATCAGGCCCAGGGTCCTTCGCTGGTTATGCACCAGCAATGCTTCATTCATTGACTTGTTTTTACTTTGTGTGTTCGAAACCAAACTGCACTTTCTTAAGACTGTTCTAAAATGTAAATATTTTGTTCATTTTCCACCCCTTTCTGCAACTAGCTGGAAGGAAGGATGTTCTGCTATAATCAACAACTAATACTAGTTATAAAATTAATCCAATGAAAGAAAATGACAACAATGTTATTTTGTTTCTAAGCAAAGCAGACATATTTTAGATATCAGCTTTTTAATGCTATGTCTGAAACAGTACATTAAATATAGCCATATTATACTATTCATTATTAAAATTTTAATAATAATCACATTGATTTTTCCATTAATTATATAAAAGGGAAAATATAAAATAAGTGGAATTTGAGTATCTCTTGTTTATCTTGCACTGTACCACATACTTTGGTGAGATGTAAAGAAATCTCCCAAATGCTGTCCTTGAGGAGCTTATGCTATTAAAGGTGGGATAAGAAATACTTTTTAAATTGTCAAAAAAGAATAAAAGCAATATGTGAATAAGTGTCAAAGAATATGATAAACTTTATGTGTTCCAGAAGTGAAAAGCCTGGTTTAAAATATAATTTGCCTGGAAGAAGTATGCTTACATTTTATGATGTGGGAAGAAGTTAGATTTGATTACAAACAATTACCGGGTTTTTGAACTAAGACCATCTCAGTCTTAGTTCTGTTGACCCGTTGTTCTAATGAAGAATCAGCATCAGCCTTGTCGGAGCACAGTGTGTAAGTAACACATGCATTCTGTTTTCTTCGTTTTCAGGCATACTTCCGACAGGGTGTTGCCCTCCAGTATCTCGGACGTCATGCCGATGCCCTGGCAGCCTTTGCATCTGGACTGGCTCAGGACCCCAAGAGCCTCCAGCTTCTGGTGGGGATGGTGGAAGCTGCCATGAAGTCTCCCATGAGAGGTGAGCAGGATACAGCCTTAGGTCTGACACGAGTGTCAAGTAGAGCGTTTCTGGCCTTTGAAAACTTCAGATGTGGGTGTTGAGAACTGATGGGTTGTCAGATTTGCTACAACTGTTTATTTTATTTATTTATTTCTAAATTTTAAGATATCTTTATTAAATAGAAAAGTTACACTATGATTTTTATACACCATTGAAAGCAATGACTATTTTATTTGTCTAAAGTCAGTAGTAGATCCCATTTCTCTCTCACAACATTTTTCTTAATTTATTTCCAGGAAATAAATAATAGGGTAGATATTTCATATTTCTCTAGATCTATGTACTGGGAAGAATTTCAGTGCATGAAGAAGAAATAACAGAACATTTTTAGATGCTAACAGTTTGTCCTTAGAACTTGATTAAATTTGGCTTTTTCTCAAAGTTCTGTGCTCATCTCCAGAGAAATAAGCTTCTATTTTAGTAGCCCTAAAAGAGGTGATATATTTTAGACAAAGGAAGATCAAGAATCACAGTCAGTAGCTGACAGTGAGCCAGAATAGGATGGTGTAAGGCTACTGGCCTAGAAGTTTGTGGAGCTAGACAACATCTGAACTTCTGCGCTAACTAACTATAGTATACGACTGTGGGTCAATGAATCGACATCTCTGGATTTTAGAGCTACCTGAAGATTCCTTGTGTTTTTTATAGTTCTAAGATTCTATACCTCTAAATCATAATACCTCTAGTAGTAAATTGATTTGCTTAGTTGGGCCAGTATGCCATCTAGAAATAATAAAATAAGAGATGACATTAGTTAAACATACTAATATCTTATAAAAGGAAGTAGATGTAACTGTAGGCTGGGTGTGCAACATTTTTCAGAGGAGCATTATAAGATTAGGTTGAATTAAAAGGAAAAAGAGAAACATGCTAGTTTAAATGGTTTTCTCTTATTATTCTACTTTATACTGATTAGTATTCTGGAAAAACGATGGATTGAACATGGTGCTGTGGAGGTTAGAGAAGTTCTAACACACAGAACAGATTGGCTTCTCTGTAAGGAGCATCATCTTTGAGGAAGACTGGACTGAAAGTGTACACCAGTTGCCATTTTTGCAATGATGGAGACACTAAGGTAGATTTATGACAGACATAGAGTGAAAAGCTAATGTTTTATATTAATTAGATTATGTCAAGTAGAAATCTGGTTTTGTTTCTGAAAAGGGATATTTTGGAATTAACCTAATTTTTTTGATAGCAGTAACATTATACATTTTATCTTGATTTGAAAATGTTTGCAGCATTAGAGTGTTTTAATATACTGGCTAATACAGTATTTGACTCAAAATGTATGCTAAGTAAAAGTTTGATTAACTAGCCTTGGCTGGTGTAGCTCAGTGGATTGAGCATGGGCTGTGAACCAAAGCATCGCAGGTTCGATTCCCAGTCAGGGCACATGGCCCCCAGCAACAGCACATTGATGTTTCTCTTTCTCTATCTCCCTCCTTTCACTCTCTAAAATTAAATAAATAAAACCTTAAAAAAAGCCAATAAAATTATTTTAAAAATGTCTGATGAACTAAATGGTACTCTTATGACATCTGGGCAATTCATAGGCATAAAACATATTTTCCTGAAAGTCAAAGATTTTGTGTTTTAGAAAACAAGTCGGTAAGGAAACCTCTGAATGTGATTTTATAACTCCACACAAAGCTGAGTCTTTGCTTCAGGAACCTAATGGCTTCTCCCACAGGGGGACCTGCTGTTAATAAACTCTGACTTAGAGCAGATGCGCTTTAGAGCTCCAGGGCGTAGGGGGTGGGGGTGGGGTGGGGGTGGACCAAAAAAAAATCAATTTGTCTCCCCTTTCCAGTTTTCTAATAGTTTCCCATTCTCTCCCCACACCCCTCCACAAGTATTTTACATGAAACATTTTTTATTTAGCTCATGAAGATATCACTTCTTTATTTTGAAGTGTTTCTGCTGCTGCCTTAGAATATTGGAGTGAACATGTTGAGATCAGCAGAATCATACTTACTGTTGTGCCTTTGAAGCAATTTGCTTAGATAAATGTAAGGAAATCTTCCCTGCACTGTGAGAAATAGCTTCGTGCGCTGTCACCCTTAGGGTTTTCTGTGCTGGTTCTTTCCCAGCTTGCACTGGGTGACCTAAGGCCGACCCTGGAGAAAGCTGCATCTTACAGGTGCCTGGAGCGCTTCGGTATTTTCTTTTCTTTCCTTAAGGCAATTTAATCTATCTCATTTATTTTTAGCACTGCCTTCACCACTGCCTTTACTCCAGGTGGGCTTTTCTTATTAACATTTTACGGAGACACTGTTTCTTTTCACGGTGGTGTTCTATGCATCATCTCACATCCTGATGACCTACCTCTCTTTGTTTGTCATAGGATTGTAATGCACACAATCTGTCATTATTTGCTGCCCATTTTTTTACCCATTTTAGTTTAGCCTCCTGCAGCTTCCTAAGTTTCTGCCATTGTTGCGTAGTGGTGCAGTCCGGGTCCCTTCGCCTATAGGTCTGACCTGTTGTGTCAGTTGTTTTTGTTGTGTAATTCTTATGTGCAGCGGAGGAAGCTGCCCGGCGCAGACGCTCCTGGAAGCAGACAGAGCTCCCACGGCGTGCACCGTTTTCCTGGGCCTTGGCCTTTTTTGGGAGTTTCAAGGTTTCATTTTTTTAAAAAGGCAGGGCCAATCTATAGTAATATACCCTTGTTCCCAAATAAATATGTTACATTTATCCACATTGAAAGTTACTTGATTTTTAAAATAGTGTTGCTGCCTGTATTGCTAACTGAATTCAGTCTGTTTTTCTTTATTTTTATGGTTTCACTCATGCTCACTGACCAGATATCAGTTGAACTATTGGTCCTGTGGTCATGTTTACAACATTATATATAATGAACTTCCTTTAAATCATTAATGAAAATGTAAAAATAAGTATAAATATAAAATGATATTCTCTTTTTTATGACTTTTCAAGTTATCCTGTTACTGTTTTCTATTTCTTCTTTTTAGATAGTCTCACAGCAATTTTAGTTCATTGTAGCTTGTAAATGTTTATGCAAATTTGGATGGTGTAGCATAGTAATACTGCCAACCACGGATTTAATAATATAATTACAAAGTGAGATTGAGTTTACCTGTCTTTGTTGCTCTAAAGACACCAGGGCTGCCTCCTGCTGAGGGTTCTCTTGTGTATATTTTCCCTCCTCCTGTTAATTCGGTAATCTAAAGACTATTACATTTGTGGACTATCACCTGTCATGGTGTTTCTACCAGCTCCAGAGGATCCAGGGAAGCTGATTTCATGAAGTGCTGGTGGCAAATGGCTTTTGAATGTATAAGCTTTTTCTCAGAGTCAAATTAGGGCTCACCTTTTACTTACCTAATTGCCCACGCTTGGTGAACTCTCTCAGGTGGCAGCTACTTTTCACAGTAGGCCTCTTTCTGAAATATTATGTTAAAAAATATAGACTACCCCCCCCCCCCAAAAAAAAGGAGACTGGAATCAAATTTCAGCACTGTCACTTGCTCTTCCATTGACAAGCAAGACTGCTCACTCTCTCTGCACTGCAGTCCTTGTCTGCAAAGGGAAATGGTAAGGTCTGCCTCCTAGAGTCAGACACTGGACTGTGAGGGTGGGGGACCTGTAGGGTGCCCTCCCCTTTGCAGCGCGACACCCTTCTTCTCGCCGAGGACTAGAGGCAGCAGCACTTGTAATAACCCCGCACTCGTGTTTACGGCAGGCGCCGTGCTGTGGGTGCAGGATGCACACTGCGCAGCGCACATGGTCCTTTCTCTGAGTGCTCGTGGGAGACCTTTCTCCAGCCCTCAGTTTTGGGAGAAGCCAAGTCTCTCATGAGTGTTGATGGTCTGGGGATTGTTAAAGTGACCATTTATACCTTTCCTTTGTCCTTGGAAGCGTGGAGCCCAGGGTCCTGGCCGCCTCTGGGAAGCGCATCTGCCTGTCTGTGTGCTGAGTTTCATTGTCTTACCCCTGCTTTCCATTCACGTTGATTTCTGTGTTTTCCTCCTTATTGCTATAGAAGGCATTTGAATCTTTTTTGAACGAAGTAAAATATAAATTAATACACAAACCCAGAAAAATGTGAAGTGGCTTAGATGAAGTGCAAAATGTCAGTTTTTCTTTTCTTTTTTTTTTTTTTTTTCTGAGGAGGGCTAAGTTTTGCTCTTAGTATGAACCCAGGTGTTTTCAAATTGTTGTAAAATATATGTGACATATATGTAAAATTGGACCATTTTAACCATTTTTAGTTATAAAACTCAGTGGCATTCCGTACATTTACAGCATTGTGCGCCCATCACAACTATCCATCTCTAGAACTTTTTCGTCTTCCCAGGCTGACAGTGTGTCCCCATTAAACTGTAGCTCCCACGCCTCCCTCCCCACTGCTCCTGGCAAACACTGCTATTTCTGTCTCTCTGAATTCGACTACTCTAGGTATCTTATGTAAGTGCAACCATACAATACTTGTCTTTTTGTGACAAGCCCAGTGGTTTTTAACTTAGTTTCCTCTTTAGGGAGTCAGCTTAGGAAAGGTAAAAATTAAAATTATGTGAATATTGTGAATCTTCTAAATTTTATTTTTTGGGGGCACTACTTTACCCTCATAATACTTTGCTTACTTCTTACCTTGTCAGTAGCTGCTGTTCTCTCTTCGGATCCCTCTTTTAGAGATTCATCCCAGGACTGTTTCTCCCAGTCTTCCGGATTGGCAGTTCAGTAGTATGTTTTAGTGGTGTGTCTAAGAATAACTGGTAGTGATCTCACCAGATTTTTTGGGAAAGTTGAAGCCTTTTCAGTCATAATGCTAGGGGAATGTTATAAGGATAATTTGAAAGGTTCCAGAATGTTTTATAGTGCCTCAGACAGATTGACATCTCTAAAAATGTTAGTGACCTTGAAGGTGATCTACAGGAGACAGTCCTTTGTGTCATTCATTTGGAGTAAGGTGTTGTGCCTGTTAAATACACTTTCTTCTCAAATTCTGTAAGTTTTTTAAAATTCTAAATAGGTCTGAAATTTATCCCTTGCTTTCCATCTATTTTCTCATTGCAAATACAGAACTCCTCCTCTAACTGGATTTTCTGGCTTTTTCTAAACCAGTCCGTGCTTTGCTGTCCTTTCAGAATGACCTTTCTACTAACATGTAAGTCTGCTCTGTCTTACTCGTCATTCTGCATTTTCCCCGTTGTCTGGAGGATAGAGGCCGATCTCCTTGGTGTAAGATAGCCCACCTCTCTTTCATTCTCATCTCCAGCTTTTAGAAAACAGCTGTTTCATTCTATCTGCAGTTTTTGGAGAATACTGGCTCATATCTCCATTTTCTATGAAGACGTCACTTCCTTTGGAAAGAAATCGCATTCCCAGACTCACCCAGGTAGAGTTAGCACCCTTTTCCTCTGAGGTCCCATAGCACATCCTACCAATGCAAAGAACCCTGGATTGAAAGAGGAACCCTTATTTTATGTATTACTAAGAAAAAAATGCCGATAATTAAATAATAACACAAGTCTTCCTTATCACTTAACTTTTTGTTTTTATATAAACTGAGAGCTCTTTTAGGCCCATTAGGACATAGAAGCAACAAACCATTATGAGGCACCATCAAGTTCAGAGATATTATACCCCAAATTCAGAGATGTTAAAATGTGAATAAATGCGCATCTCAGAACTGATGATATATAGTACAGTAAGTCTTCACTTAACATTGTCACTAGGTTCTGTGACCTTAAGTAAATTGATATATAATGTAACCAATTTTACTATAGGCTAATTAATATAAATAAAAGAAGTTCCTACAGAAGCTCATCAATGCTACAATGAAATGACATTGAGCAAAATGACGTTATTTGAGGAACTGCTGTATGTCTTTTAGCAGAGTGTGATTATTTATTACTAGCCTCTGCTACATTCCTAAAAACTCTTTAAGTATCAAGAAATGTGACTTTGTTCATCTTAAATAACTAAAGCCTTTACATTTTTAAAAAACATTACTGGTTTTGATGAATGTTGCACAGGTCTTTTACCTTTTTATGGAGTTGGTTTGACATTGACTATTTCATATATTATGTATAGTTTCTAGAAAGAAAAACATCTTAATAGCAATAGGCTTCCAGATCTCTGTTCCATAGGGCCTGGTAAAATTGTAACATCAGTGTGTTTGCTAACAACCTATGTTTACTCTAGAATAGGAATTAGACTCATAGAATAATATAGTTGGAAAGAGTCTTAGAGGTTACCTAATCCAGCATGTATATTTTTATACATTAAAAAAGTACTGTATGACTTTTATTTGTCCAAAGCATGAATGAATGCTTTGAGTGAATAAAAGTGGAATGCTCGGGTTGTACAGCTGCTAACTCGAGCTTCTGATTAGTGAGTATGGACCAAAGAGACATAATTACAGCCAAAAGTAGAGAAATTTGACATTGAAAAACTTTTTTAACTTATATAAAGTGAAAATTGTGTGTATATGTATACACACATGCATATATTTATACATACATGCACACACACATACATGATGACATGCAGACTCATGTAACCATCACCCAAATTGCAATCTGTACATTTGAAAAAGTGAAGAGATGGTGGCTACATGGCTTTGAAATCCAGATCTTTTTATCCTTAGCTCAGCATTTTCTCTGTTTTTCCGTATTGGTTTTCTTCCCTCTAGGTATTCTCTGTTCCACTCAAGTTGGCCTGTTGATCAGTCCCTGTTAATCCATGTGCCTGTCTCCTCCTGGACATTTGTTTAGGACAAATTTTCTACCTAGAATACCCTCCACTCAGCAAAAAATGCAGTGACTTGTCTAAATCTTACCCTTTCTTCAAGAAATCAAGTTCTGCTTCCCTGAAGCTTTCTGATTACCCTTGATAATCACTGCCTTTTCCAAACTCCAATAACATGTACTGTATATGAGTTTGCAGTATAATTTATCTTTTAATGTATTTATATTTTCTTTCCTACATACTGCAAAAGGAAATCTGAATTTTTTACCTCTTGTTTCTTCAGTTTTATTTGTATTCAGTGAAAATTTGTACAATTGATTATTTCTTTTTTTGGAGGGGGGAGGGGAATGTTCCTAGCATTTCCCTTAGTCCTCTGTGGAAAATTTCCCTCAATCCTCTGATTTTCCATCACTGGGTAGTTTTAGAGGTTCAGTTAAATGGCTGTTGTTGTTTTTTTTTAACTTAGCCATGGTTGCCGTGATTTAAACTCAGCAATGGGAGCGCAGTGTCTTTGCCGGCCGTCAGGCACCAGGGCTTCGGGGCCTCGCACTCCTCCTGTGTTGGGGATTCCTTTCTCGCCTCTGCCTCCTGCCTCCTGCTGTAAAACATCAGATCCCAGTTTCCCACCCTCCTTGGAAGCCGGGACTCCACCTTTGATTCAGGAGCTAAAGGCTCAAACAGAATGTGTTTTGGTGGTGGTGGGCGGCAGTGGTGGCACCCGTGGTGTAACGGTGGCATTCAGTAGCGGTGGAGGCAACACTGGAAGCTTTGCTGTTTAGTGTTTATTTGCAACAGTTACACTGCCCCCACCAGGAAGCTCTTGTGACATGATTTTGACTGTGGGCATGGAAGTCTGGTTGTCCACCCTCCCAGTAGCCACGTAGTGTGTTTCTGCTCTACTTGAAACCAGCTGGGATTGGTTTCTTTTGTGAGCAGGTCAGAGTTTCCCTGGTGTGGTGTCACAGGGCCTGGACTGAGAGGCCTGCGGTGGGTTCGTGTCTCGGTGCTGTCCACGCTGTCTGACCTCGGGCGAATCACTTGAATGCACAGATTCATTTCCAAAGTAAGGGTATTTTCAAAGTCATTTAAGATCTAAAATTCTGTTGTTTTTGCTTCTGCTAAATTGGCCAGTGCTAATGTGATCATCATTGACTGCAAAACCCATCGGTGGGTACCAACAAAATTCTGCTCACAGTTCTTTCAGTCTCATGTTGCTCTTTTCTATTACAGCAATTCCAGGGTTCTTGCGCTTGTGTTTAACCCTGTTGGTTAGCTAGTATTTACTGGTTCTATGTATTGTTTGCACCTTGACAGGTGTTAAAATGTTCTTTGTTTTCTGTTCAGAGATCTGATTGAGGGGGAAAAGTTCTTTAGGCAGCAGTAGCTTTCGAGGTCTACATGGCAGTGTTGATTCAGACAAGAGCTCCTTAACAGAGAATTGAGGTTTCAAGTCTAATGTAAAGATTGCACTCAAATGCAGTACTGTTGGCTGAGAGAGTCACAGTTTAAAAAGACCAACCTTTTACATAGTTTTATACATGTGCACAGTGGAACAACTGGTGTGAAATAGTTAATTGGGTTATAGTCATTATCTCTGTGGTTGTCTTTTAAAAAAGGAGGAAGGGGGAGAAGGAGCGTAGAGGTCATCCACACTCAAACCTGACTTCAAATGGGAAGAATTTCCTTTGGCTTCCTGACTACTAACCTGTGTCTTTGCAAACATCACATGGAAATAAAATATCAACATTACTGTTGTCTTCCACCGTACCTTAGTAAACTTGGATAATTTCTTTATGGTTTCATTTGTCACAACAAAAATTGATGGTATTTTTTTAATTGGCCATACTGACCTCAGAAACAGCAGTGGACACTAGGTGCCCATTGAGGGTGACAGGTGTTTTGTTGGGAGGGCTTCTTATTGCATCTTTCAGGGAAAAGGTGGACAGGGTTTATTAATCAAGTCATTCAGATCCAGGTTTAACAAACATTTGTTGAACTCCAAATATGTTAGGGACTTTTAGGTATGTAGCAATGGCAAGTTTTTTATTTAGTGCCAATTGCTATGGAGTTATAATAAAGCATTAAAACAGTCCTACAGTGGTTTTCAGATTTAGCTGGGAAAATATTCTAAAATTAACACACTTGGAGGAACAATTCTAAAATAGTTAAGGGTCAAGCTTCACTAATAACTGTAAAAATGTAGCAGTTTAGATTGAAAGATTAGTGTGGGCTGGAGGACTGGGGATACTATACAGAAGAGGTGGAACTCGAGGAATATGTATATAAGTAGTTTGAAAGGGCGACAGTGGGACAGAGAAAGAAAAACCATCCAGGTGAGGTGTGTGTCAGGTAGAAGAAAGACCAAGAGCGAGGGGAGTGCGGCACCTGCATGCGAGGGTGAGAAGGAGTTACAGTCACGTGGGTAAGTGGACAGTGAGGGTGGTACTAGATTAAATGTTGGAGGGTTTGTACTTGAAATGGACCACGAAAAGGTATGATAAACATTTGTTTCTAGAGCATCTTAGAAAAGATTGTTGTGCGTATCCTCCTATATTTTCTTATTTTGTTTTGTTTTTCTTCAGACTCCCTCGAGCCCACTTATCAGCAGCTCCAGAAAATGAAACTGGACAAGAGTCCCTTTGTGGTCGTGTCTGTGGTTGGGCAGGAGCTCCTGACAGCTGGCCATCACGGGGCCTCTGTGGTTGTCTTAGAAGCTGCTCTGAAGATTGGCACCTGCAGCCTCAAGCTGAGAGGTTCTGTTTTTTCTGCCCTGAGCAGTGCCTACTGGTCTCTTGGAAACACAGAGAAGAGCACTGGATACATGCAGCAGGACTTGGATGTAGCCAAGACCTTAGGTAGTGTTATGCTTCTCTTCTCTAATTCCATATAGAAAGGAAGTCAAGAAAGCTGGTTAACCTGGCATGAACGGGAATGACATGTGCAGTGACAACTGAGTGTATCTCTAGAGTATACTCCGTTTAGAGTACTCGGGTCTTTAAGGCTTTTCATATAACAAGGTACCAAGGTTCCCAAAAAGCCCAGAGATGTGAACTAACATATTCATTGCTTTCCTCAGAGATCTGGGCTTACAGATGTAATATCCCAAATGACAGTATTATTGGGTGAATCTTTTGGCTTAAGTTTCATTTTTGACTACATCAGAACACATCATCATTTTGTTGGAGGAGACGGTGCAGTGCAGTGGTTAGGAGTGTCGACTCTGCAGCCAGGCTGCTGTGTAAGTGTGACCTTCAGCAAGTTGCCTCAGCTCTGTGTGCTGCCATTGCCTCACTTGTACAGCGAGTGTGGCTTGTAATTATGATCATCGTTACTGTGATCATTCAAGGACCTGCAGGACGGCAGTAAGGGAAGGGATGTGGTGAACCATCAGCATACTTGTAAAGAAGGAATATATGGCAGTAGGTTTGGCGTCAAATGACTGAGCCAGCAAGCTGATGGTTATTTGGGACCAAAAGTCATTAGCAGAGCAATGAAGTGACTCAAAGAGCAGCTGGTTTTTGTCAAGGTTTTTAACCTCTCATTTCCAGGACATTTACGTCCCTGGCTGCAGTTGTATGGCAGCATTAGTAGTTGTTAGCCAGGCATTTGAGTTCTAGGACCGTAACCTCCCACATAGAGTATTACAGAAGAATAAAGGCCCCTTCTAAAAGAAGGCAAGTGAAACCTTAGCTAGTAAGTCTGTGGCTTTTAAGTGGTCATTATATAGTAAAATAAGCTATAACTTAGAGAAGTTTTATCTTTTTTTAAACCCAATCAGGTGACCAGACAGGAGAATGCCGAGCTCATGGGAATCTAGGCTCTGCATTCTTCTCCAAAGGAAATTATCGGGAGGCTCTCACTAACCACAGGCATCAGTTGGTGCTCGCCATGAAACTCAAGGATCGAGAGGTAGGAAGTCTACTTCCAGACCAAAATTACTTTTATTTGTTTATTTTTGAAGCATGGGATGTTTTTTTGCTGTTCAAAGTGTTTTAAGTACTTTAGAATTTTACTTTCAGAAATCAGTGATTATTGCTCCTATCTTTCGTCAACAACCAGGTGTGGGATGGACATCTACCTCCCGTTGGCCTTGGGGATGTAGAAATAAATAAGACGGTTTCTGACCTCAGCCTCTAACAGTTTGGTCCAATCCTTGTTCTTATGCTCTTCCAATGTGCTGTGGTGTAGACATACATAAAGTTAGAAAAAAATCTCTATCATCGTGATATATTCATTAAATAAAGAAGCATACATTATGTTTTATTTGAGATGAACTGGTATTACTGCAAACCCTTCACTTTGTTTCTCTAGTGGATTTTTAATTAAGGTGGTAAGTGCATATTAAGTCTGATCGAGAGACCTGAATTGTAATGATACAGAAATATTACCCTAGTCTTTATTAGAGAAATGAAATGTAACATTCTCAGAGACTTGGTATCTAGTAGATGTGACCTGATTAGAAAGTACTTGCAGAGTGGAAAAGGGTGGAGTTTAGGGATGAGATAGACCTGATTTTGAATTGCTGCTCTAGCACTTTCTAGCTCTAGGATCTTGGGAAAGTTATTACTTAACTCCCTTTTGCCTCTGATTTTTATTCAGCAAATGATGAGTCCAACTTATTCCATACACAGTTGTAATAGGATTATTAATAATATATGTAAAATGCCTAGCATGATACCTAGAATTCCATACTGGAATTCTGTACATGGTAGCTTTTAATAGAATACTTCGAATAGGGAAAAGAAGGCTAATAGCAAAGGCAACAATACATTTACGAATCAATCTGTATGTTGGGAAATGTATTTGGTTACACCTGTATCTTAGAATTTCACTAAGGGACATTATAGTGATTAATTATATTATTTAAATGACCAGCATCTTCAAGTCTCTAGAACAGTGGGAAGGAACTGGGGGAGAAGACGGTCTGTGCTGGCATCTCGGCTTGGGAAGACTGAACCTCTGCAGAGTTTTCTCTCATCCGTGGGGGTCAGGAAAAGGTCTTTGAAAGCTACCAAAGTAGAATATTAAAGGCCATGAACTTTTGGCAATTTTACTCTCAAGAGAATTACCTAAACACTTTTCTCTTTGCCAATTTACTCTTAGATTACAAACAATTCTGTCAGCCAGATGATCTGATTTCTTGATGTTAAGAAAATAAAAAGAGGGATCAGACTTATTTATGCTCTATTTTCCTAACCTTTAGAATGTATGTATTAGCTCATCTACTGGATAGGGTAAGAAGACTTTAAATTAAGCGCATGTGATTGTCATAGGTATCAAAAAAGAGAAGTGAATTTTTTCTGCCTCCCTCTTCTTAATAGTGTAACTTTCTATAGCCAGTGCTTTCTGGGTTATATAAACCATTGGTGTAGAATGAAGAAATCATTGAATTACAAGGATGGAAGAGACCTTGAGATAATGCTGGTCCCAGCTGGTCCCAGCTGGTCTCCCCCAAACCTTCCCATTTTATTTTTTTTTATTTATTATTTTTTTAAAATTTAATATTTTATTTATTTATTTTTAGAGTGGGAAGGGAGGGAGAGAGAGAGAGAGAGAGAGAGAGAAACATCAATGTGTGGTTGCTGGGGGTTATGGCCTGCAACCCAGGAATGTACCCTGGCTGGGAATCGAACTTGGGACACTTTGGTTCCCAGCCCGCGCTCAATCCACTGAGCTACGCCAGCCAGGGCTAACCTTCCCATTTTAGAAGTGACCTAGCATCTGTCCCTCTTCTGTTGGCCTGTGCTGAGCTACCACTGCCAGTTCACAAACCTACCTACTGGGAAATCCTCCTTGTCTGTAGGTTGGAGATGCTGAGACTGCTTTTTAAATCTATTTCCTTCTTTTCCGGGGGTAGATAAAGAGTGTGCAGCTACTGTAATTAAAGGTCTTTTCCAAGTTTGTGATTATCAAAGCCTTAATAATTTTTACAATCCTCGGTGGCTGTCCCCATCACTCTGGCCTACTGTGGCTGCCAGTTGGCCGTAGCCTGACCGCGGCAGAGGCCTTGTTGTGGGATGTTCTGCTCTCTGGCCTGTGCTCCTGCTCTGTGTTCCTGAGGCACAGTTACCTGATTTCTAGATTGACCCGTGGAATTCATCTCTTCTCTCACTGTGTGCCTCTTCTCTGGACTTTTAGATACCATTAACTCTCTTGATAAATGGTATGTTATTTTCTTACCATTTCTCTGATTTTTTAAGGTTGTATCTGAGTGCTGCTTCTAGCCTGCAATCAACTGGAAATTTTTACTTCTATATCCCCAAAACCAGCCACCATTGTTAAGACTGGAGTTAATATTGGTTCAGAACTTAAAGGAATATATAAAATGTCTAAAGGGAACTATTGCAATAATATATATACTTCTTAGGTACAAAGTTTTAGTTGACAAATCTTCTGGGATTTAACTCAGCTAAGTGTGATGTCTGCTCATAGAGCACCTAAGGTGTGCAGAGCGCTGTGCTGAGGTTCAAGGTCTAGGCGGTGGGTGTGGGGGTCACTCTCCTTAAGGGGTTTCTGTTCTCTTCGAGACAGCTTTCACACAGCAAGAATGTGAAAACTGCCTGAGCAATAAGTGATGATGTTTTCTTAATCACTGCCAAGATCCTGGAGTTCTGAAGGACACAGAGACTGGTGTAGACTTGAGGAAGCTCTGTGAGACGGGAACTCAGACTGGCCCCTGAACGGGACATGGAGATTGGCGTGTGGGGTTTGAACACTGGTCAGCGTGTCGGTCACGTTTTGCCGAGTGATAAGATCGTTCATGCCTTTAGCAAAGGTCAGATTTTCATGATCTTATTTGGTATAGTTACAGGCTCTCAGTTTTTATAAAAGGTAATATTTATTAGTTTTGTTCAATTACATAAGAAATAACAGGAAAATGACCAAGAGTAATCCTACCATCCTGTTAGTATTTTGGGTATAATTTTTTTGTCATATATGCAGTTATAATTGTTTATATCTACTCAAACAAAAGTTGAAATCCTATTGTAATACTGTTTTATAACTTGTTTTTTTATTAATATTTTTCAACTAATATTTTGTTTGTTTGAATCCTCATCTGAGGATCTAGTTTTTTAATTGATTTGAGAGAGACAGACAGACAGACAGAGAACCATCGATGTCAGAGAGAAACGTCAAGTGGTTGTCTCCTGTACATTCCCTGAGTGGGGATCTAACCTGCAACCTAGGCATGTGCCCTGACTGGGAATCGAACCCACAACCTTTCGGTGTATGGGATGATGCTCCAACCAGCTGAGCCACTTGGCCAGGGCTTTCCACTAATTTTTAAATGTGCCTTCATTTTATTTAATGCTCTACCTCTGAAAGGCTTTATTATAATTTATTTTATCTGCTCCCATACTGTAATTTTTGTTCTTTTCCACTTTTTTTTCTGAATTATTGGGTGAATTAGAGCTTTGAGAACTCTCTCAAAACACAAAAAGCATCCCAAAAAGCATATCCTTTTGAGTATAAAAGGTTCAGAGAATTTACTTTTTTGTGGTTATCCTACTCTTGTATTGCATCTGTGACCTCAAATTGTGCCTTGGTTTCCCTTTGCATTATAGTTGATTCTTGAACAATGCTGGGCTTAGGGGTGCCAGTTCCCGTGCAATAGAAAATCTAAGTATAACTTTTGTCCCTCAGTGTCCACAGGGACCCCCGAGATACCACAATCTGTGGATCCTCCAGTCCCTTATATGAAATGGCATAGGAACTGCATCCAGCTGTCCCTCCCCATTTATGGATTTAGAAAAACAGCATTTTCGATCCATGGGTGGTTGAATCCACTGATGTGAAACTCAGGGATGCTGAGTGCTGACTGTGTATCTATTGGCAAAAATCCACACCTAATGGACCCATGAAGTTCATACTCAGGTTGTTCAAGTGTCAGCTGTATTTTGATACTGAAATAAAATATGGAAAACTGCCTTTTGAAGCAAAACTTAATGCTGTGAATGCTGTGATTGGCAAGGATACCAAGCTGCATCTTTCCGCCTCTTGCATCTTTGACTGTAATGCATTTTAAGATTATTCCCACGTAGCAAAAAAGCAGCCTGAAACCACTTTGTCCACTTACCTTAAAGAGGAAGAGGGCCCTGGCCAGCATGGCTCAGTGGGTTGGGCATCATCTGACAAAGCAAAAGGTCGCTGGTTTGATAACTGATGAGGGCACGTGCCTGGGTTGCTCTCTGGTCTTGTCCCTGGTTGGGGCTCATGCGAGGGGCAACCGTTCAATGTTTCTCTCTCACATCGATGTTTCTCTCCCTCTCTTTCTCCCTCCTTCCCCCTCTCTCTAAGTAAGTAAATAAAATCCTTTTATAAAAAAGAGGAATAGGGTTTTTCTTAATACATTACTCAGATATATAATAGAGGAGGTGATACTTTCTCCATAGGACTTTTTTTCATTCTAAGTAACCTTCTATCTGCCTTAATGGTTTCAAAATTAATTTTGGGTGCCTACAGAGACCTTCCTGTGAGCTAATATTAATTGTCAGAAGAGTACATAAATTATATTGTACTAGAGATGATGTTCTTTATTCAGGGAATCTGATATGCAAATATGCTGATGACTCTGACGTTTTTTTTTTTTCTCCATCAGTCTAATTTCTCTCCTGAGCTTCATATTTCTTTATTCAACTGCTGCTTGGACAGCCATCTTCAATTCAATGTTCTTGACTTAGCCCTTAATCTGTACCTACGCCTACATTCACACTTGCCCTATTGCCACCACCACCTCACTCTCATGTTTGGTTCGTTACTGGGTTCCTTCTTTCTACAGTAGAAATCTCTTTTCTGGCTCCTTTCTTCTGCCATCTTTTGCCTGGACCTTTGTAATAGCCTTCTCTAAGAACTTTTCATACCTTTTAACACTATCCTATAAGCAACAGAGAGAAAGTGTCTTCTATTTG